TGTGTCTAAATTTCATTCAGGATGGAGGATAACACATCAATAACCAAGGAAGAAATTAAATGAACAGCAAAACTTACCTCCAGAAATCCACAGGTGGACCCCTGTGCCAGGAGCTATAGCAGAATTACCCTTTAAGTATTAAAGAAAAAAATTAAGTTTATCATCAGTAATTGTTTATTAGTGCACTGGAAGTTCCAATCAATCCAACAAAAGGAGAAAAAGAAATGAAACATAAGTGTTAAAAAGTCAACATACCATTGTTTTCAGATAATGTCTGCAGGTGGTGAATTGGTGGTCTGCGAACTATTGTGTCTGAGAATTTAAGTAAGATAGTTGATACAAAACAAACACAGACAAAAAGTAGCCATTTAAAAGTGGCATTCAGTGGCATATAGTACATTCAGAAAGTTTTGCAACAATTGCATCTATCTAGTTCTAAATATTTTCATCATATGGGACCTCTGTCCTCTTTGCAATTTTTCTGTAAATTTAAATTATTCAAAGATAAAATTAACAAAAATGTGGGCAGAGGGGGAAAAGGATAACTTTCCTATGTACAGTTGAATCTCTTTGAAAATAGATCTCGATCATTTCAAATATTAACCAAAAACTTAACCCTCTGGAACAGGGGTTTGAAACTTGTAATTACTCAATAAATGAGAGTAATAATATCTAAAATTTATTATGGAACTCTGTATGTCATGCACTTGTGTTCTGCTTTATATACCTTAGATTATATTATCATTATCACCTTTTTTGGTTTAACAAATAAAATGTATACAGCAATGCAGTGATAATAATTAACATGAATAGGTGTCCACTAGCTATTAGAGCCTATTAAAAAAACTTCCCTCACATGATCTCCTTTATTTATTTATTTATTTATTTATTTATAATTATTTATTTTATTTTATTTTTTTATTTTGTCAATATACAATGTAGTTGAATATTATGACCATTCACCGAAACCTCCCTCCCTCCTCCCTCTCCCCCGTCCCACCCAAGAATGTCCTTTCCATTTGCTTGTTGTAACACCTTCAAAGAAATTGTAGTTGTTATATCTTCTTCCCCCCTCGTTTTGTGTGTGTGTGTGTGTGTGTGTGTGAATTTATTTGTGAATTTTTAGCTCCCACCAATAAGTGAGAACATGTGGTATTTCTTTTTCTCTGCCTGACT